TTAATTAGTGGAAAAAAATTGCAGGGGGGGGGGGTAAAAAAAAAGAAAAAGGCAAATCAACCATAACTTTTGCAACCTCCATGCAGTACCTCTGAACCTCAACAGAGGACCCTCTGTTTAGGACCTCCGTCTTAGAGGACAGAGGGGTTTGACTTATGTGGATATGATAAAGGCATTTGGATGGGGGTAAAAGGCGGAACATTGTGTGAGTAGAAGTAGCGAGGAACCAGGTAGAGGAAGAAGGTCACAGCTCAGATCTGACACATTGGCAGGCACCACTTCATTAACTGCAAGTTGCTAACCTGATGCTAGCCAAAGGAGAGCCGTGGATCTCAGTGTGAGCAATAATAATTAGCTGCTAAAACGCAAAAAAAACCCTTCTCTTCGGGAAGCAAATTGATTGAAATTGGGTTTATATCTTGGACAGGATAAAAATACTTGCTCACAATTAATGATCCCAAAACCAACAGAAACATGTGGACCCTTTAAGTTTTTCGTTGCAAAACTCTATAGAAAAGAGCTAATTTGCATAAGAGCAGAATAATAGGATAAACATGGCTAATGGGATCATGCATTTGCTGAATGCTCCTAAACCGATGTGAAAGATGGGGGACGCCCAGTGGGATGTGAATGTAGAACTAGGCCACTGGCAAGGGCACAGCTAAAATCAGGATATCACCATGGCAGTGCAGAGCGAAAGAACATTACATGCAAGTAGGTATGGTGCAAGTTACTGCACAAACGTGAAAACCTTTATAAGTACATAAAAGTTTAAAACACAGAAAAGGGTCCAACGTAGCCTTTTTCAAATTTATTTGGGCCATGAGGACTAATCTAATTGATGTCATTCAAAAAGGAAATGTGTGAATCGAAGGGTGCATTGATCTGTGAAAGCAGTATGGGGCTGCAGAGCCAGCGCTGCATGGTGAGCGTTGGATTCTGAATAACTACCACCAAGACAACAGTAAATAAATATATATTTAACACAAAAAAGAATAACACTACTTTGGTTATAAAGTAATTTCCTACCAATAAAAAAAGAAAATGTCTTAAACCTATGCTGCTCCCATCCAGGTCTGAACGTGTTGAATAATAGAGGATTATTTTAATACACAGATCAGTGGATGTTATGAGATCCTAAACGCTTCAGGTAAAAAAAAGGGATAAGCATGAGACAATGAAGCCCTTTAACAGTTTTAGTAACTGAAAAGAAATATGCATCAAGTTTGAAACTAACCCTCTTGTTTGCTCTGTTCATCTATGATCCATTTTTAAAAACCCAGTACTGGTACTAAATATAAAATCCATTTCTTTAAAACAATGTTGTTCCAATTAGCAACAGTAGGGGGAGCCCTGGAGGACAAAAAATTTGCCACACCCAATAAGAGTAGAGTTTTTTTTGGTTTACTTTTCTTTTTCTTACAACATTAGGATCAGAGCAAACATTATAAAAAGGTATTTTGTTTATTCATCGGGTTCATATCTTTTCTTCTCTTTTGTTTTGACCACATCTTATAGTGTTAAAATGAGAACAGGAATAAATATTTAAGTCTGACCAGATTAAACTACTTCAAAATGATCTAGTTTCCTAAACCAGTACAGCCCATCTCTCTCCATAAGGCGCTAGTGATGCACAATGTTGATGGGTCAGCTTTTGTCATTATAGGATTAGGACTTTGAGTCATCGTTGGGCAGATAACATGCCGAGTGAAGAAGAGCAAGTAACACAGGCCCTACACGACACCAAAGAGGTTTATATAAGCAGGAAGGTAAACAACTTAAACTACTAGCAAATTATTTGGCATTAAAGCAGCACTTCTATAAGTGAAAGATTAGTAACACATAAAAAAAAATTTAAAATGACTTCATAACTTTGTTACAACAGGTTGAAAGCAGCTTTCTGCAGGTCAGATTAATGAGTCAAGCCCTCTTTGTACTTTTTCCACGTCACAAACAGCAGAACTCTGTAAATGTGCGTCCAAACATAATGAACCCAAATAAAAAGGAGCTTTCTAAACAACCAGTATTTTTATACTGAGGGCCAACTCCTTCTCTAAGACCCGTTTCCTAAATTGTCCTCTATAGCATTTTTGTCAAGGTCTGATTTGGGAAGCCGAATATGGAAGTTTAATTCCAACATGAATCATAACTAAGGTTTTAAACTAAATACATGCACTTTGTTTCCTTTAACAAAAACATAATTGTTTATTCATGTTTTTGTTGTATGAAGAGACCCCTAAAACCAAACTCACCAGAACGTCGTTACAGATGTCTTTCAGCTCTTTCTCGATTTTTTCCCGGTACTCTTTGACTCGGGCTTGTTTCCCTTCGCTCGAATCGGCTTTCTGCTCGATGCTGGACACCACACGCCAAGACGAGCGACGGGCGCCCACCACGTTCTTGTAGGCCACCGACAGCAGGTTGCGCTCCTCGTTGGTCAGCTCCTCGCCCTCCTCCGTCACAGCTTTCATGGCCTCGGCCATGTCATCATAACGTTCAGCCTGCTCGGCCAGCTTGGCCTTTTGTACCAGCTCCTTCTGAGATGATTCGCTCATGACTGCTCACTAGGGCACAAATGGAGCACAAAGTCAAGCAATGGCAAAATAATAGGATATTATAAAAAAAAAAAACACTAAAACACATGTGCTGAAGTGTAGCACTGCCTTCTGCCAGTTATCAGAACATGAGCAGGCTGATATGAGTAAATGTTGTTCCAATGTCCATGTTCTCTTCACTTCTAGGGGCGAGATTTGGATGGAGTTTAGCAACAACGCTATTGGTCAATGCGTTTGGACCAAACTTAAAGTGAACTGGGATTTTGTTTTAAAACAATTACTATTCGCAAAACCCTCTAAAAATACCAATTTGAACAAAAAAAAAAAAAAGTAAAAATTTAAATTCAAATGTAAGCTTTTTAAAATCTAATTTGAAATAAGAAATCTGAATCTCTTTAAACCTTTTTTTATACATGCTTTTAAAAAATTTCATATCTGTATCGCATTTTTCCCCCCCTCTCAAATTTCCATTTACAAAGCACATTCTTTGCTTGTAACAATAATGGAACAAAATCCACTCCGTAGCTTGATTGTGTCCAGAGCAAAATAACCACCATAATTTTCCTACCGATATTGGAGAACAGCAAAAACGCATCAGCTATCATGATCAATATAATATTTAAATCTTTGTTTTTCTTCATTAAAATAGCAATCATGTAAAAATTGCACCTTAGGATATATATTTTGGGGTGTCCATATTTAAGGGTATATTGAGGCAACCGAATACAGATATCAGGGTTTCCACGCCTCAGTTAACATCACATAAATGGTTCTGGAAAGTCACTTTTAAAGACTTTCCAGAACAATTTCCTCCAATCCAAGGCCCACATGTGGCCGTATTGACCTCCTGCTATCAGTAACTACATAAATGGCACATCAGGTTATCGTTCTGGTAAGTTTCCCAGTTCATAAACATTCCAATCAGGACAAGGAATTTTGAGCATGGCTAAACAATCTCAGTAGTATGTAAATTCAATGAAAAGTAAAAAGGCACAGAAATTGTTCGATTTAGAACTATTAAAAGGGGAGTAGAAATTCATCTCTACTATACATAGAAATGTTTTAAAAGCTTCGAAATGTTCTCCAACCAATGAGGGGGAAGCACAGGGGTAATAATTTTGGATCCTTTGAAAGCCTCACTTGGAAAGCCATATGTCCTGAAATTAGAATTTTCCAGGCAGGCTATTACGGGTCAGATTGATGACCAATTCAATGTAATTTGGCAATTCAACCACAAGAAGAATGCACGCAATGATGCCGGTGTAGGTACCAGATTGACTCGGGCTGCCAGATTGACTCGGGGGCCTGCGCCTTTTGAGATGCGTCAGAGCGTCCGCCATCTTAAATGTGGCAAATCTGCAGTTTCTCAGTCACTTGAACAGTATCAGAGGGACTTTAATCTCTGAATATACTTTGTATTNAGTCAATCTGGCAGCCCGAGTCAATCTGGTACCTACACCGGCTGTGTTACAAGCACATCAGCTGTGTACAGCAAACACTAGAATCCATGACTTAGCAAACAAAAAACAATTACAGTTTTTGTGAAATTGACAACTTTTTTTTCTAATAAAATTTCAAGGACTTTCAAGGGTGGGTGTTTTTAAATGGCTTAAAATAAATAATAAGAACTACTCAAGATAATTCATATCAGCACCATTTTACAAAAAACTCACAGGTTTGCAGCCAAATTTCTATATTGTTGAACCATCACAAGTTTTAAAATTAAAGCAAATATATGAGCAAAATGCAGAACTTGATAAAAAAAAAAATGAATAAACCTCCAGATTCTGTCTCACAGCTGGTTCCCTGGTAATGGGTTATTAAAAGATTATGTTCCCCATGTTCCAACCAGAGGGAAACGTGTTAAATTCCTTAACGATGTGGGCAAGAAGAGCAACAGTTTGAACACGAACAGGCTGGCAGCGTACCTGTGACGACTGCTATTTTCTTGGCCATCCACCGCTACATGGAAAGAAAAAAAGCTGTCACGTCACCATTTAGCTGCCTTTGAGGGTTCAGTTATAGATTTGAAATTTTTTGCAACTTGAAGAAGCCAATCTCACTTTTAGATAAGAAAATGACTATAGAGCACGGTGAGGTAGATGTTAGAGATAATAAATTTGTTCAAATGCACAGTAAATTTGCTCTGATGCTCACTTCCTGGTTGTTACAGGGTCAGGGAAATTTTTCCAACTTAAAAGCATGGATGATTTTCCTGGTGAGTAAAATTATTTTGAAAGAATCTCATTGCAGTTATAATCTTTAAAGTTCTGCATGCCTAATAATGGGGCTGCATTACTAGTTTTTTAAATGAGTAAACTTTCTTTTTTCAAAACACCTTAAAATGTAGTGAAATATTAACTAAAATATATTTTTAAAAACAATTTGTTTCCAAATTTGAAGATGTTTTGCTTCCCATCCAGGAAGCTTTTTCAATTCAAATGTCAGAAATAGTGTTGGGTTTGAGGTTTACTGTATAAAACCTCAAAGTCAAAGCTATTTCTGACATTTGAATTGAAAAAGCTTCCTGGATGGGAAGCAAAACATCTTCAACCTTTGAAACAAAGTCCAGTGGATTGTTTTTAATTTTCTTTTTTTTTTTTGGAATGACTATGAGCTGGATGACTGAGAATCTTCACCAGCATCAATTAAAATAAAAAATAAAATAAAAAAACACTGAAGAGTTATGCTATTTGTGTTAAATAGGCTGGTTCAACTTTTCTACATTCATACAGGGCTGTATTTTTCTAGAGATAAAACTTATATTTAAAAGGCTGCTGTGAGGACTTTTAAATTTCACCTTGTTCTGCCATGCACCATTTCTTAAAAAAAAACAGCTAAGACCAACATTCATGCTTGAAAGCCCGTTTGAAGGAGCAGAAAAAGCAGAATGTTGCAATCAGTGTGTTCAGCGAGGCTTTTGCAGTGAATGTGGCCCCCTCCTTTCCTCTCACCACACCCATCCCTGTACCTGTGGCTCGCCTCCCAGGCGGAAACTAAAATACCCAAAGTTCGTCTGAATCTTTAAAAGAGAAAATAAAGCGATATGTCCTGACAGAACACAAAGCAAAGCTGCGGCTGGTCTTAAGTCGTAAATCGGAGATTCTGGGCGTGAAAAGCCCGGTTTAAGAACGGCAGCAAGGCTGAAGCTAGGCCCGCGTGACCGACTAGTTTCTAGAATGGCGCCAACTATTTCCTGAAACAGAAGCTTGACAGCTTTTATAAACGATATAACCGTGAAACACTTATCCCATTTCTACAGCTAATTTAAAAATAATTTATAAAATGTGGCCCGACTGACTGCCCACTCGGAAATGTCATATTTACTCAGCTTTGTACATTCATATCTAACGTATCGCTTACAATAAAATACTTTACCATCAATGAGGGCGTGTTTTTAAGTGTAACTTCACAGTTGCGGGATAAATGTAATATATTGACTGAAGACGATTCGGTGAAACAATACCGTTTCCAGCAAGCCTTCATTTTCCTTTTATCTACGGCACAGTTTCAGGTAACATGTTTAATGATTGTCCTTAGTGGGACTTAAGCCTACATTTAACTGATACGCCTTTCATATTCACATTAAAACCCAGCCATTAGACACATCCCGGACTGTAAAGGTGAAGGCTAAGCTAGCCTTTGTTCTGTAGTTGGATGAGCGTCCCCGCTACACCCAGTCCTGCCTAAAAACCCGCACACAATGGAGCTTCTTCTATCTGTCAATTATTCATCTACTCGGTTTTCTAAAAGTGAGGTTTAAAACGTGTTAAAGCGCGGACGCTTTTTAAAGCCGTTATTGTCTTTTACCTGGATTCTTGCAGATGTAAGCGTACCAAGGTGCAGCTGATACTCCCAGCCTGTCCGAATGAGAGAAGTCAACGGGGTTTCCTCCCAATAACACCGGTCCAAGACACGGCCAGAGCAACGCCGAGCTAAATCAGGACTGACGTCAAACGTTACCAGGGCGACCACGCGTGAAGAACTGTGGGACTTGTAGTTCTCTTGGACATTTTCTGTTATACTTATTTTTAAAACAAAATGTGCAAACAAGGAGCATTATCGTGCTTTTATGCACATGAAAACATGAACGTCTTTAGTCCAACTCCTTCTCACTGAGGTCTGGGTGTTGCAACTACAAAAACTGAATAATAATAATAATAATAAAAAAAACAAAAAAGAAAACCCTGAATGTTGGAACTGTACCTATACAGTCATATGTTTACATCACTTTTTTCATCACAATATTTTTATCACTGCTGCTTACTCGCACTTTAAAACATGAAATAGTCTAGAGAGCTGTACTTAACAACATTTCTTCTGGTTTACACTTGTGTGTACAAAATAACAAAAAAAAATCTGTCAAAGTCATTAAATATAACCCCTCACCCTTTTAAATGAAATACTACAAATGAAAATGTTAGTATGAGAACAGGAGGAAAAATACCAGGCAGGAGGTATTACTAAATTTTAATTGGTAGAGAACTATGTGAATCATATAGAAATTTGTTATATCTTTGAAAACATCAGATATATGCATAAAATGCAGATGGTTTCACAAACTAGAACACAAGAAACGGCTATGGTACTATCCTAATAGAAACTACTATCTTTGCATTCTTGTTGGTTTCCAAAGGGAGAGGGTGAAGCTATTTTTGCCGTGTCACATGGTTTCCCCCTTGAGCGAGATTTCAAGCTTGTAACCTATTTAAGGGTGGATCAGATAATATTGGCTCCAATGTGCAGACACAGAAGCAAAAGAGTAAGCATTTAAGGGGGAAAAGACATCTTTTTGTCTAAATAAACTCAGGTGAGAGAAGGGCGAAACTCTAAACCAGCGGGACTCTACCTTAAAAGTCTAAAAACCTGTTAGGTGAGTTTTACTGTTCATGGCCCATGTCTTGAATGCACATGTACGGGCACACACTTAGGAGCAGCTTCTTGGTTTTCTGCAATGGCTAAAGCTCTCTTGACTTTCATTGGAAAACAAACAGAAAGAAAGATAATTAGCAAATGCAACTGAACATGTGTTGACAAATGATTGAGAAAATAAAATAGGAAAAGATAAAATGCAATTCACCACCAGAGAGAGATCATAGTTTATTTTATTTGAACAGTGCTAATTCACAATTGTCACCTCAAAGAAAAATGTCCAACTAGCATCGAAATATAAAAAACACACATACAAATCAACATTGTTACACAGACCACAATGCAAATTTCTCTCAGACATTATCTATGTAAGGAAGCCCAATGCATGATGTCATTGACTTTGCACAGCAAAGCTTCCTCTTGAGCAAGCAAGCGGCAACATTGCAAAGGATCAACTCACTTTTAACTCGAAAAAACTCTCCTGCTGACCAGAACTAGGCTCAGTGGGAGTGCCTGCAGCTAACTACAGCTTGGGAGAGAAAATCTAAATACATCAAGTTATTTTGAACACAGTTACTGCATTATAAAAAAAAAGAAAACACACACAAAAAAACAACTGAGTACTATGGGCCAGTTTATCAATAAAAAAAACAGTACATAGGAAAGCAGCAAAGTTATTTAGGAAAGTACTGTTAGTTGTTGGACATTATCTGTCTCAGGGGTTCCAATAGTGTGGGTCTGTTTACAATCATGCAGAAGTGATCCCTTAGGTACATGGAGGGCAAAAATATATCATGCAATGCATATATTTGAATATACCATGAAAAGTAGAAGCTCATCGAGGAGGAGCATGGCCTGTGTGACTCCATGCAATTAGCTGGGCTTCCTTAGATGGAAAATATTTAACCAGCCGACATTTAATAGTACTCTGAGTGATTTGTTTGTGTAGGTATGTATATGTTTGTTGAAGTGTATCTATGTAGATGTATATATATATATATATATATATGTATATGTTTTATATAAAGTTTTCTGTCCAAGGAAAACCAATTGATTGCATCGACTCATTGACTCGAATGCAATCCCTCACACTAAGCATGCTTGTAGCGACAGTGGAGAGGAAAAACTCCCTTTTAACAGGAAGAAACCTCCAGCAGAACCAGGCTCAGTGGGAGCGGCCATCTTTTGAGGCCGACTGGGGTTCAAGGAGACAGAAACAGAGATACAAAAAGCAACTGTAAAAGGCAGTCCCATCCAGGAAACACGCAGACCAATTACCTTAAATGACCTATTAAATAATGTAAACTTTAAAAAAAAAATAATCCCCTCTATATAGATATAGATATAGATAGATAATATAGATCCAGTATTTGTTGGTAAAAGTTACGGTTTGGGTTATTCAATTGAATCTGCAAATACTTTAAAATATAAAATATTTTATAAAATTAACTATTATGCAATACAAATGAATTGGAAACGAATGGAAGCCAGTGGAAAGTCCCATAAGGATAGTGGGACATAACATGTGTGTGGGGTGGGGGGTTTGTGTGTGTGTGCTCCTTTCCTTCTCTAATAGCAAGGTGTGTCTCGCAGGTGTGGCCCTGCTGCTGTAACCCGTTCAGCCCATGAGAATGAGCTTAAAGATGACAGGATCCCCTGAGGCAGATGCCAGATTGCGCTTACTAAAGAGTAATAGAAACCCGCTCTCCAGTCCATAGTCCTCCCTCACATCTTCGATTCTCCATCTCTTCTATTTATCCTTTAGATCCTCTTCAAAGATTTTTTTCTCTGGTCGCTCTGTCTTAGAACCGCTGTCTTGACTTTCCCACATGTGAACACCATTACTCCTCATGTGCCTCCTGGAACAAGGGAAAATCACCAGCAAACCGAGCCACAGTCTGTCAACCTCAATCCCTGTGATGATACTCACCAATTCAATTCAGTTTATTTATATAGCGCCAAATTCTCAACACATGTCCTCTCAAGGCACTTTACAGTTCAACCAGATCATACAGTCAAATTGATACAAAGTTTTCTAATCTAAGGAAAACCAGTTGATTGCATTGGCTCATTGACTCAAATACAATCCCTCACACTAAGCATGCTTGTAGCGACAGTGGAGAGGAAAAACTCCCTTTTAACAGGAAGAAACCTCCAGCAGAACCAGGCTCAGTGTGAGCAGCCATCTGCTGAGGCTGACTGGTTTCAAGGAGACAGAAGCAGAGATTCAAAAAGCAACTATAAAAGGCGGCCCTGTCCATGAAACACACAGCCAGGCAGACGAGCACCGAGCCAGCTCCCATGTCAGAGGACGAAGAGAGCACATCCACTGAGTCACGATCAGAGAAACAGGACCACACTGGAAAACAGGCCGATCTCCAGCATCTATAAACAAGGGTGTTGATGGAAGCAGCACAGCTGATGTTTCTTTCCAGGATGGCGTCACAGCCAAACAGGAAAAGACGAGGCAAAGCTACTCTGAGGCAAAGCAGAGAGAGCAGAAGGTAAGAGATTAAAATAACAGATTCTGCAGAATAGGAGAATATAGAGAGAATGAAGCAGAATGATGAAATAGGGGTCCCTATGTCCTCCAAAATCTAAACCACTGCTTCTTCTTCTACTCCAACAGCTGTGGAGTATGTATGCGATGAACAGTTTGTACTGAAATTGAAATCTCAATTACAATGCAAATTGTTGTTGATAATAAAGAGAAATTGATTGATTGATATTGGTTGTATAATACATCATTTAATTTATGTGAAGCAATGTAAAACAGTGATTTAAAAAAATCCACTTATACTATGGAAAAGAAAGACAAAGCATTTTTTTCATATATATGAAATTTTTATTCTGTCATGAATTCTGTATAAATCATGAATTATGTACATGGCAGGTTTACAGGGAATTGTTCAAGGATTAAAGAGAATAGAAGCCAAATGCCCCTAACCTTTGTTTAGCTCTGCTCCTGGGTAAGCTCCTTGGGGGCTGAAAACGGTTTTATCTGCATTTCTCTGGTGAAATTTCTAACCCAATATGGACCAGAGAAGTAGATGGGATATATTCAGAAATTTGAGGCTGCGTGTCTTCTGCATCCTTTAGGTACATAAAGACATAAAACGCAACTATTTAGTTTTCTAATTACTTCATATTATTTTTTGTCACTACTCTATTTATACATATTTAGCTTACAGAATAAAACATCCAGATAGAAAACAACTAAACTATTTTAACCTTACTAGGTTATCTACACCCGTTCTCTCTTTAGTCACCTGTGATAGTAGTAGTAGTGATAGAAGTTATATTTTAAATAACAGACAAAATTAATCAGGCACCATTAAAATGTTGATTGGGTCCCTCCTGCATTTTGCACTGTGGTCAGAAATGGTTTTTCACGTCTCATTGAATCTGGTAACCCTGATAACTTAAATTGCATTTTCTTTTTGAAAGCTTTACTTTTTATTCTGTCAGTGTTTTTTAATTATAATCCAGCCTGTTGAAAACTATAGAAAATATTTAAAGCGACTTGAACTTCATCGTAACACTATTAGTAGTTTAATTTTACTATTGTAGTCTAATTTTCATTTTATTAGATTTTCTTTATAATCACCTTGTCATTTTAATTATTTTGCTTTTGTTCTCTGGAATTATTCATATCTAATTGTTATTTAATTATCTCTATGCCACTGTAATGTAATTTCCTAATTGCCTTGTAAACTACAACTTTTTAAAAACAAACTTTCTTGGAATATTCAGGAAAGAACATTGAAGCACTCTGCAGGGAGTTACAAATTTCATATTTTTGTTTATTTCTTTGGAGGAAAAAATACATAAGTGTTTAAAACCATAAAGAGCCAAATAAGAGAGAAACAAATAAGAGTAGCAACAATTCAAAGGAACCATTTAAAGCCTTGTTCCGGGGTGTAGGATGGAGCTGTGAGTGTGACCCGCCCTAACAGTGGCTGAAAGCTGATGACTAATTTCCAGGTGTTACATTCCTGGCCCTGGGAAGACATAACAAGCTACGCGACTTTCTGCCCTTCCCATGGGCCAGCTGGATGGCAGCTAGTCAAGAGTTAAACAAGGCAACAAATAGACAATAAAAACTTTTACTCTAAGCCTAAAACAACTACGACTTGCTTAAAAAAAAATAATAATGATAATAAATATATATATAAAAAAAAGAAAAAAGAAATGCAAGTCAAACAGAAATCTTTACTCTTTAAGAACATGATGGGAACTTTCCGCAGTTATATCTCATATGGGTCTCTCATTAGCACTCAAGCTCTAAACGGTGTAGTGTTAAAGTGTGAGGACAGAGTGACAGTGGTATGGATTCAAATTGTAACACTGCTGCCATCAGTGGAGCCTTTTTTTAACCCCCACTCTCTGAGGGGTGGGGGGGCTCTGACAAATCTGACAATTGCTCATTTTCACACTGATTTAAAACAAGCTGGGTGGCCTTAAAGGCACCAGAGCATTTCTGAGCGGCAGAAAAGTGACTCAGGTCTGGTTGGGATCAGCAGTGATGCAACCACCACGTGTGAACAGTTCTTACATAAACTCTGGGAAACGCCCAGCATTCTTCAGAAAACAAGGAAGTGCACAAGCATGTTACTGGAATTCCCAGGAGGCTCACACACCTTAGTGCCGCCCAGAGGTTCATCTCCATCATAGATTTACTGCGGTCTTTTAATCATGCATGTGGCCTGTTCATTTTTCCACTGCTTTGCTGTGGGTTACTTATAAAACATGCAATTTTGGTGATTTGAGAAAATAGAAAAATATATATTTGCTGCATGAGCTTACATTTATGAGGGATTGTTTCATAAATACTCAGACTAAAGGGAAAATACAAAAATAACTATAATATCCTGAGTTTTAGCCTGGGGTGTGAACTCCCTGGCTGTGTGTTTCCTGGATGGAGCCGCCTTTTATAGTTGACTTTTGTATCTCTGTTTCTGTCTCCTTGAACCCCAGTCGGCCTC